TTTCATTATTCTTGCTAGCACAAGAAAAGAAAACCCTAGCCGTCATTCTTATTCTCTGTGTGGATCACCATTGGAGGCTGGACAATTGGACAGCTTGGATTGCAGATCGTGATCATTGGAGTTCAAGAAAAAGCAAAAGAGTTTGTGAAATTCATCAAAGGTATCATTCTCATCACAGTTTCTATCTAAACACATTGCAGATCCTCGTTTGGAAATTGAAAATTGTTTAATTTCCGCTGTGCATGTTAAGTAAATTCCCAACAATGCTTTCCATTTTATTATATCACTACATGAAAAGACAATTTTGTCGTATAAATTGTTTAATATGGTACAAAAACAAACCCAAGATATGAATCCACATTACACCAGCCCCAATTCATGCCTAAACGTCATCAAATTAATTAGGAAAAGTTTGATAAAATTCCAATAATTAACGTTATGTTTTAAAAAATGACAAACATATAATAAAATTACAAAAAAATAGGTCATTTCAAAATTAAGGATTAATTTTAATAAAATTTTGATCCATTTATCTCACTATAATTTTCCCGTACAATTTTGCAAATTAGTATTTTCTTTCACCTTAACCAAACATTATGATCGGCAATAATCTGATTAGCGTTATATAACACGAGATTCAACATATCCACAATCGTGCATATAAAGTCACGAGTCGCTTACAAAGGTCAAATCCATAATAACACCTTGTTTGATATCCATTTTTCTAAAATACATTTTTCTCACTCTTATTTTCAATTACACGTTTTTCAATAAAATAATATTACACGTAAATTCAAAAAATTTCTTTATTTTTTAACCACATATTTTTCATCAAAACACTATTTAAAATGTATTTTTTGGGAGAATAATGTGACCCAAACAGGATGTAAGCAAACTCTTGATCAAATTCCGAGACTTTTTCTAGTCAGCATTAACAATGATAGTCGCACGCATAAAGTCCAATGCACTAATATAGTCACAACAACAATGTTAAATTCAAACAAAAATATGAAGTGGCGAATGACACGAGAAATATTTTATTGAACCATTTACATTATAAATGAAAATATTATATCATAGTCACAATGTCAGATAGATGTGACGTAGCATTTTAAAGAAAGAGACATGGAAAGCAGATGAAGATGGCAAGAAGGACTGAAATTCAAGAACTCTTATACATTCCTCTCTCCACCTTTGGGATCACGATGAATTTTCTCACTATCTCGTCAGAATAATTAAGAAAGAAATTGCCAATATGTTAAATTATTTAATTAATTAATTAGCAAATAAAGTATATTAAAAGTTATATATAGGATTGTGTCCTATTATTCCTTAATTTTATACATAGGATGACAGGTCCAACTCAATGCCTCGAAAGCCACTTGGATTCAATCGGTTTAACTGGATAAATCGTGATGTAGATCAAAAGTAGTGCAAAAATAGAAAATTGTTGCAAGTTTTTTTAAATGAATTAAGTAGTTTAACTGCAACTTATTCTTTTAATCAATTCAATATGGTATCTTTATATAACAGAGACTTCTAAATGTAACGAGTACCATTAAGATTATGATAAATCAAAATTTTATTTCTTTTTAAGTCAAATGTTGTTTTCTTTTTAGTTGATTGCTACAGTTTTATTTTTGAATCCATTTCAATAGGTAAAGGTTGTTAGGCCAACATAAGTGAACCCAAACTAAGAATTTGACATTATTCTCTACCCTAATCAGTGACGGAGGGAGGCACACTGAAATTTGAAATATTGTTTTCATACATGAATTTTTTTATTTTTTTCATTTTTGATATATTTGAAACTATGTTTCTATAGTTGAATTCTATTTCCACTGATTTCGACAAATATGTACACACAGGACCTTAGCGTTACTTCCATTGAATTACAAAGGCAACTAATAAAATATTGGTTATATAAGTTTAGGGATGTAAACGAGCCGAACGGTCACAGCTCGGGTAAAAAATGTATCGGGCTTTTTTGGTCCTAGCTGAGCCGAGCCAAAGCTCGACAGAAAAAACAAGGCTTGACTCTGGCTTTCGACTCGGGCTGAGTTGGCTCGGTTTTTTTTTTTGTTTTTTCCATCAAAACCAGAGGTGTATATATATAGATGCGTACATACATACATTCATATACATGTGTTTGTTCTTGTGGAAATCTTTTAAAAAAAATTATTGGTTTTTGTTTTTCCAGGTTGTTTTGTGGGTATGATGATATATATTGCCTTCTCATCGGGAGTTCGAAAAATTTATGTGCACAGATAAGCAATATGGATTAGCAAGAAATGAAAATGAGGTAGTACTTGTGATTGAAGCTTATAGAACACTTGGGGGCCCTGGTGCTTACCTGACTGACCAGGTTATTAAGGATCTTGATGAAAGCTTTGCCTTCATTGTCTATGACAACAAAGTTGAAACTGTTTTTACTACACTCGTATTTGGCCTACGTCTTGTAACTTTTGATAAGATTTTACCTTTCTTTTTTGTATAATTTCTTTATGATTTCAAGGTTCTCATAGAGGAGTTAAGTTGTACTGGGGCATTGTTGCAGATGGTTCTGTGGTGATTTCGGATGATTTAGAGGTGATCAAAGCAAGCTGTGCCAAATCATTTGTACCATTTCCAGCAGGTAATGATATAGAATTTCTACACAAGATTTGCATAAGTTAATGAATAATATTGACTGATTTTGTGGTTGCAGGATGCATATTTCACAGTTAGGAAGGATTAATGAGTTTTGAGCATCCCATGAATAAGCTGAGCTGATGTAATGCTCTAAGTGGCCTATGTTCACGGGCTGTAAATGGCCGGTGTCAGGGGCCATTTTTGGAGCCACACAGGCCGGTTTGAGCTCGGGTTGATGTCCAAAACTAAGGCTCGACCAGAGCCTCGACTCGGTCCCATTGAGTCTCGAGCTGAATCGGCTCGAGCTTTTCTCGGTCCAAGCTATGAACGGCAAGCCAAATTAACATCCTTATATGGGTTAAGCGGTAGGAAATTTGCCAATTTATAATGAACGAGAAAGTTTTAATGAGATGTATTCAATTGGAATTTTTAAAGACTTTTAAACTTTTTTTAAGAGATGATTTTTGTAAATTTCATGGATTTTTATAGATTTATATGGAATTGGTGGAAGTTCTATAGACTTTTATTTTAACTTTCATAGAATTTTGTAGATTTCAAAGGACTTTTAGAAACTTTCGTTTAAAATAAAATTCAAAAGGGTCTAGTGCAACATTTGGAGTACTTGCATTCAAGATGGTGGTTCCTATAATTCTCTCCTCATGTAATAAAAAATATTTTTAAAAGAATAAAAATTTAAGTCCCCTTAATTAAAAATTAATTTTTAGTATTATCAATATGACATACCTTTAAACACTAAGTATGAAATTAATATATTTAAATTTAGCTGTAAGTTAATCTTTTTTTAATAAAATCTTATAATTTAATTACAAATAGATCTATTTCATGCAAAAATGGATGAAAAAATGAAATAAATTTTAAGATCTTTAGTTACCATAATTTTATTGATAGATGAATGGAGATAAACAATAAAAGATAGAGAAATATATATATATATATATATATA